TGTAGAGCTTTTGACGACGCATCTTTTGAAAAAAACCAAGCTTTTAACCATTTATTTATGCTGAGATACATGCGAAATATAGCATATTGGAAACATTTTGGAACACCCGATACAATGCTTACTCTTCTCTATAGGCAACATACAGTGAGAAAATATAAAAAATATATGTTTCACGGAGAAGAAATATCTATTTTCGTCGCATTCTATGAGACAATCACTTGTATTTTCTCATTACTTTTTCGCATTTTTATTATATCCAAGAACATATCGTTAAGATAAAGGGAAAGAAATCAAGGATAAGCTGCTGTTTTCATTTAGAGATGTGAAAGAGTATCACCAAAAATAACAGAAGAAGTGATTCAAGAACAATGAATAAGAAATAATTAATCTTTCGGCAACAAATAACAATGCATAACATCAATTTGTAGAAAACCAGATCGTGAAATTGTTGTTTTATTGATATATGAAAAAAATTAAGAGAAAACGCAATAATTACTATCCGCTTTTCTGTAGAAAAAAACGGCAATGGGATGATTCTTTCTGAAATCCTTTACTAATCTATAATACCTACCAATAAGTGAAATAGAAAGGCTCAACTTAGGGGCAAAGTATCAGATCTACTGGTGATGATCACCTTAGTTGATTTGCGTTCGTCAAAGGAAAGTTGAAATGGAAAAGTGAAGCAATTTGTAATGCTTGTAATTCTGTCCTCGCTTGATGATTTGCTTCGAGCATGTTGATATGAAATATTATCACAATTTGAGTTTTTTTAACCAAAACTCACAATATTGGTAAAACAGAACCGAATTAACTGTGGATTTTTATCGTATTGAATACGAAGAATATAAAACAACAAGGACATACCTGGTGATTTTGGTGCAGTAAAACAAACTACCAGTATCCCAATGGTCATAGCTATACTTGTGAATATAGGTAATACAAAACCAGGTTTGGTACTTGAATCCTGTATTGACCAGCAACAAGACTTCCTAGAAAAGAGCAACAACGACCATATTTAACATCAAAAGAAAAAGTCATACATAGTCTGTTGAATCGTGTAATTTTCTATTTGATCAATGGTGTTGCTCTGAATGTTTCTTACATTTCGTGCATTTGAAATTGGATTTGTTTCCTCGTCTGCATCGACGACAACATCATCCTTAGGAGGCGAGCAATCGACCGATTTTGCGTTTTCATCCATAGGAGCCATTTCAATCTACGAGAAGGCAGTCGTAAAGAAACAACACAAAATTAATATGCACATATCAGTCTATCTCTAACTATGAGAAGTTTCTATAGAAAACTGTTGATGCATTAGTTTTGCGTAATCCATCCAGTCGATATACGTATAAGCGTATACCTTTGCTGTGCAATCTCAACATTTTCTCAATCATTAAATAAATGTGTTGAATATGTTCAGCAGACTGCACAAATTTTTTGGCGATAAACTTATATTCGATCAGAACACTTGCGCTAATACTGCAGTATATTAAAACGATTATCAAAGCCATTGTTTCGAATTTTTATTTGACTAGCTAACACTTCTTATTTAGTATTTGTTGATCTCTGTGAAAATTGATGCACATTGTTTTTTCTGTTTCCAATCCTTTTGTATGGATATATGTTAGGCAAAACTAAACTTAGCTGTTAAAAGATTTGTAAATTTAAAAAAACCGAGAACCAAAAGAATAAGTAATTGATTTTAATATTCAAATTAAGTTACGCTTCAGCTTGATTTAAGTCTAACTAAAAGAATGGGGGCGCATAAGAGCCATTTTTGGGCCATCGTTAAATTCACTTTGTTCATAGTTTATTCAATGCAGAATTTCACGAAGAATCGTTTGGTAATATAATAAAGCTATTTTCAAAGAGTTTTGATGGACTTTTGCCTGAAATACTGTTATTCACTTTTGTACTATAAATACCCAATCACACACAAAATGATCAGACATGCATGTTTTTATGCATGTCTTTCTCGAATGAGATGTTTTGAAGCAAAAATTATCTCAAACAACTATCCATCTCATAGTCTATCTCTAGTAAAAATTTCAGTCCAAACGGTTGAAGTATTGCTGAGTTATAGTGTAAAAACCATTTGGAACCATTATGAAATCATATAGTTTTCTTATCATTTCTGTTCAGTGTTTTCCAGTGTTTTCATGATATCTCAAGAAAGGAGAAAAACCACATGGAGTTTTGATTGATTCTGAAAGCTTGAAGGAAGGGCTACAAAATGAGACCATTTGAGATTTATTTAGAAGTCGTCTTCGTAAAAAAGTCCGATTGGACTTTTATTTACTAGCTAAAAAATTTGAAAAACCTTATCACTTCTATTCAGTGTTTTCACAATATCTCAAGAAAGGAAAAAACCCACATGGGGTTTTGATTGATTCTGAATGCTTAAAGGAAGAGCTACAAAATGAGACCATTTGAGATTTATTTAGAAGTGATCTTCGTAAAAAAGTCCGACCGGATTTTTATTTACTAGCTAAAAAATGTATATAGTTATATTATATGAGGCTGATTTTTTGAATCAATAGCCAGTTTGTTCTAAAATTAGAGACTTGAATCACAGTAAAATTTCATGGAGAATCTTATGACGATAAAATAAAAACAATTAAAAGTTATCGAGAGTCATTTTTGTTCAAAATGTTGGTATGTATTCTCCAACAGCTGATGAAGAAGTCAATAAATCACACTTTTATTATCATACGGAAGGTGTTAAGATAAAAATTATTTTAATCTGAGGGGTGCGCGAATACGGATACAGAATGTAGTTCGAAAAACACGAATATTTCACCGGATCAACAAACAATCTTTCGGATCATGTATTGATATGTACTGGTTTGTGCTCGGGTACATGTATTATCTAAACAACATATATACCTTCAAAAAGCCTAGAATTCTAGAATCGATGTACTGGCATGCACTGGCTTGCACTGGGTACATGTACTACCTATTTTCCAAGAGATGCCGACTGAATGTGTGTTTATGTGTATGTTTGTGTTTCGCGCTCATCTTCACTCAAAGTAATGCCCACTAAATGTGCGTTTCGCCTTCGTCCTGAGTAAGAGAGATGTTCATTGAATGCGTGTTTCGCTCTCAATCCCAGCCAGTACGTGAATTCTAGAATTCTAGGTTTTTTATGGGTATATATGTTGTACAGGTAATATATGTACTCGAGTACAGGCTTATACAAGCCAGTACGAGCGGGTACGTACATACCAGTACATGCCAATATATGAGAGTCAGTGTTGATACGTAGTAGTACAGGTCGATAAATTTCTGGGGCTAGCAGTTACCAGTACAATTTGTATCCGTATCGGTGCAGCTATGCTCTCGATAACTTTTGATTGTTTTTGTTTTATCGTCATAAGATTCTCCATGAAATTTTACTGCGATTCAAGTCTTTAATTTTAGAACAAACTGGCTATTGATTCAAAAAATCAGCCTCATATAATATAACTACATACATTTTTTAGCTAGTAAATAAAAGTCCGATTGGACTTTTTTACGAAGACCACTTCTAAATAAATCTCAAACGGTCTCATTTTGTAGTCCTTCCTTTAAGCATTCAGAATCAATCAAAATTCCATGTGGTTTTTCTCCTTTCTTGAGATATCATAAAAACACTGGAAAACACTGAACAGAAATCATAAGAAAACTAGATGATTTCATAATGGTTCCAAATGGTTTTTACACTATAACTCAGCAATACTTCAACCGTTTGGACTGAAATTTTTACTAGAGATAGACTATGAGATGGATAGTTGTTTGAGATAATTTTTGCTTCAAAACATCTCATTCGAAAAAGACATACATAAAAACATGCATGTTTAATAATTTTGTATGTGATTGCGTATTTATAGTACAAAAGTGAATAACAGTATTTCAGGTAAAAGTCCATCAAAACTGTTTGAAAATAGCTTTATTATATTACCAAACGATTCTTCGTGAAATTCTGCATTGAATAAACTATGAACAAAGTAAATTTAACGATGGCCCAAGAATGGCTCTTATGCGCTGCCGTTCTTTAATTAATGTAGGGATGTACCAGGTCCTGTTCGAATCGGTCGACTAGGTATTGATCTGTACTGGATATCCAGTAAACTGATCTAGAATTGATTCGATAATCAATATCTTTGTCTATGACCGAAGGTTTTCGGGGTCAAGAAATCCAGATTTGAAATCAAAATTTCAAAATTTTGATTTCAGATTCGAGCTCTCCGATCCCGGAAACCTTTCGTCGAAAACAGACACCTTGATTATCGAATTAGTTTTAGGTCGGTTTACTTGATATTCAGTAGAGCTGGATACTTAGTCCAACTGGACGGTGCATCTCTGGCCCAATGGCCTAAATTTTGCTGTATAAAATCCACTACAAATCCAGATCATCTGAAGCAATAACAGATAGTAAGTTCGAATTATGCCGCACTAATAGTTTAAAAGGCCGCAATGAATAGCTGTTGCTAACGGAAAATCTACGTTGACTAATGTTCATTATAAAAAGTTAGCTTCTAATATGTTGTTTTAAATAGTTTTTATTACAGTTCACCGACTACTCTTAAAAAGCAGGCATGCCTAAAGAGCGGATGAACTGTTAATCATCGATATCTCATATGCAATTGTTCTTGACCACTTTTCAATAGAATAGGAAAGCAAAATTGATCGCATAATATTGATGATATAAATTTCATGATAAAAATATCTAATTATCTCCTTCTAGAGATGTTTTCAACTATCTTCAGTTAAGAATCATCCGATTTATGTAACGCGAACAATATTTCACGGTTTAAAATCCTTCACTTTTCATGAGCTATCTTGTTGATAAATACATCTGATCTAGGCAACTCTCTATCATTATCCTGAGCATCAGAGTGAAGATCACAAATTTTTCGAATAGATAATTCGAAGAACAAATACACCTACACATACTTTGAAAGTAACAGAAAAGATGTGAACCATCAATGTACAAGAGTGTTCGCTAAAATACTTGCTGATATAAAAACTTGATTATCTATATGCTGCAGTAATTTCAGCAACTATCAGAGGTGTTTGTGTATACTATGCACAATATCCATAACTGAGTAATTCAAACAACAGCGACTAATCTGGATATTCTTGGACACTAGACATATATTTCTCTATAAACCACAACTGCCTCCATTCAAGTCAGAGGTGGGCACGGTTAGGGTTTTTCAAAATTTAAACCGAACCGAACCGAACCGAAACGGAGCAAAACTTGAGAAATGCTAAACCGAACCGAAACCGAAATCTTTAAAACCGAACCGAACCGAAACGGAGCAAAACTTGAGAAATGCTAAACCGAACCGAACCGAAACCGAGCTAAACCTGAGAAACGCTGAACCGAACCGAACCGAAACCGAAATATCTAAAAACCGAACCGAACCGAAAATGAAATTCTTAAAAAGTAGTCTGAAGATAACCAGTATTGTAATCTTCATTTTAACTCGTGCATCTGACGAGGAAATCTTTCAAGGTGTAACCCTCAGATTGCAATGATTTTTTGTGCACAGATACTAACTAGTGCCCTAGTAAAATCCCAAAAGAGTTTGGGTTCAGAATCCTTTCTTCAAAAGTTATGAATATTTTAATTTCACTTCTATAGAGATCATAATATACAATATTAAAAAAAATCAGCAAATTTATGAAAATACGATAGAAAAACGAATCTCTTTTTTTTTGAGAGCGTTCTTAGATATTTGTGGTGCTTATGAGAAAGTTTTATCTTTTAGTTCTTCATATTATCAAGATATAGGATTTTGGATTCGAGAAAAGAAAATCAGATATTTATAGAGAGTGATAGTATACAATATGTTATAGAAGTGAAATTAAAATATTCATAACTTTTGAAGAAAACATCCTGAACCAAAATCCTTTTAGGGTTTTTACTAGGGCACTATGCAGCAGCTGTGGACAAAAAATCATTGAAATTTGAGGGTTACACCTAGAGAAGTTCCCTCGTAAGCTTGAATGATTGTAAGTTTCATTCATCAAATTGTCGAGCAGGGATACCAAAACATTTCCAACAATTAGATTCTTTATATGTTATATAAACAACAAACCAATTACTTTTATTAAATTTTAAATTCCTAATAAAACTTTTTGCAGATTAATGCGGAACAATGTGAGGCACATTTGATAAATCAGATGCAATAGAAAAGTGGTTTGTTGAATATCATTGGAGTCTGTTGAAGAATCAAGAACAATAACATCATGTACGTTCGATAAGGGAGAAATACTCATTTTATATTAAACTTGATATACTTATCACCACTAAAAGTAGGTGAATGTTTTCGTACATGAAAAAAATAATTGACTATTAAAGTCCCGTTATTCATAGACGAATAAAGAAAGAATATAGAGAATATATAAATACACTCATTGTTACTAACAATATCTTTTAACGATTCATTTCATTTGCTTTACATGTACATATGCTCATCTAAAAAGAGTCTCGTAAGTGTCTACAGATATAAAGAATAAAAATGCACATTCATAAAAATTTTATCTAAATTGTATCAATTTAGATTAGAACCGAACCGAACCGAACCGTTGAGTTCAAAAAACCGAACTGAACCGTGCCCACCTCTGATTCAAGTAACACTACTTGATCATTCATTATTAGGTGACTGCTTGAAGAAAACTCGTGTCCTATAGTCTTTATTTTCAATTTTCTACGCAGAAAATCGATTTTTAATGGAACACAAAGCGTTGTATACCTCTTCCACATGGGACTGCATCGTTCACCTATGTATTTGCGCACGCCTTTGATCAATCAGGAAGTTTGCGGTGCTACGGTTTGTTTGCCACGTATAAAAAGTGATTAAAAGCTATACAAATAACCTCTGAACAGAAAAGAAATTGATTCAACATTTATTATTAATGATGAATAATCGAGTAATCTATGTATAAAAGGTACTTTTTTTTCTTTCACTTTCAAATTCTCTTTCCTTATAATGCTCGGAGTTGATCAAAAGTTCTGATTCCGGTGTTTAAAATTTTATAAAATATTTAATATCGAAAGTTTTATTGTACGAATTCATAGTAGATGCCTCGTCTACAGTAACATATGTAACAACTTCCTCTTAGATTTAATTCTAAGATTCTTTTCGATTACGATAGTAAAGAACATTTTCGAACAAAAAATTTTAAAAACTTGGGAGAAACTCTTAGAAAAGATGAAACTTTGTATAAATAATAATGGTGAGATATTTCGAACATTTAATAAGGTAAAACTAAAAATATCTCTTTCTTTTTTATATTTTTATGTGATGCTATCAGAACGTTTGGTCAGCACTAAGTAGACTTTGTCTGAAAAAATGTTAGACTTAAATTAACTACTTTATTAATTTTAGACAACGGGATCAAAGAGTTCGGTGAGCTCTAGGTATGTAGTATAATGTTGTCTAAAAAACGGTATGAAGGTTTTACCAATACACTATTCCTCATTGGGTCTTTTACAGCTAAGTTTGATTCTTCTGTGAGCATTGATTGAAGTGAAAACCGGATTCAATCCAGTTTGTAAACTGGTAAACGTCACATGGTACGATTCGTCGTATAAAAAAAGAAGATCTAGCTTAGCATCTTATTTAAAAAAGGGTGGCTTCACAAATGAATGGTGAATATAAGATTTTAAAAAAGCTATTTGAAAAGACTTTGTCGGATTTCGTGATCTATCTTGAATCAGGATATCATACGTGATTTTGTAGAGGAATTTATGCCGTATCAAATTATGGAGTTCTATATGTTTAACAGATAACACCATTCGGAACAGCAGAGTCTGATTGTTAATTTCGAAATCGTCCTATAGAATAACCTTTTTTCCTATATAGAAAGATTGGTATGTTGACGATATTCGAACAATATTCAACAACCCTATTAAATTTTTTTATATTCTAATGATCAGCACAACATTGCTGATGAACTGATACAAATAGTTAGGGCAACCCAAAAATACTGGTAATGACATTTTATTACCGTAGAGTAAGCTTTAGAAAACTTTCTTTTTACATACTAGGATAGTACAAACGATGCTCTATTTTTCTATAGTATTGGATCATTATTTAACCAATAGCATAATGATGAAATTTCGATGAGAATTTTTTTCTATCATATGTGTGTGGTAACCGTTTAAGGGAAACAACCGTTTAAGGGAAAATATACACACCATTATAGAGGCACACATGGTAAATCTGATTGGGTACATGAATTGGAACACATCTTGTTGTATTAAATTACTCTTAAAAATATGTCAATAATTGAAAAAAAATGAAACTATTATCCATTTCAAAATAGAATGTGCTCCACTGTTTTTTGAATAACTCGAGAATGGGAGCAGCTAGAAACCTGCGGTTTTCACCAA